GCGTCGTTGATCTCGTAATCCCCCTCCTGCCTCCTCCTCCTCCTCCTCCTCCTCCTCCTCCTCCTCCTCCTCCTCCTCCCGAGAACCGTTCTGGCTCACCTGCGCCGCGGCGCTTCTGGGCCGCGCTCCCCGCACCTCTGCGAGGTGCTCATTGACGACGGGCTCCGCCGCCGCGCCGCGTGCCGTGGCGAGCCCCGCCTATCAAGGCGGAGTGGCGCAAGCACTGAGCTGATGCTGTGGGCCCTCCCCTGCGGCGGCCGCTGGTGCTCGTGCGGGGCGGCCTACAGGGCAGTTTTGAATACATAGGGTTTGCAAAAATATTGGATTTCTAATACGTGATCAATTTAGGAGTAAATGTATGCATGAACTCCTCGTTGTTTTTGATACTACATCCCTGCATTTTTAATACATGATCCGCACGCGGAGCATGTATTAAGAACGGCACTGCACTGGCAGACGCCTTGGGGCCCGCCGCCGGTGCTGGAGGTCGTCCTCCGGTGGGCGGATCAGGGCCAACCGCAGGCGCCAGAGGCACTTGGCACCATCGTGGCCCTCCGCGCCGACATCGCGGGCTTGCGCGCGGAGCCGAGCGCCGTGAGCGAGGGGCCGGTCCAGGCGGCAGCGGCGGCGGTCGAGGCCCCGAGGAGCGAGGTGCAGCAGCAGGCAGACGAGGTCGACGAGGCCAGTGAGGGCGGCTGGCAGAAGCCGCGGCGCCCTGCAGCCTGCCAGGTGCGCGGTCCTGCCGCAGCGAAGCCCTTCGCAGGCGTCCGCGGAGGAGGCCGACTGTGACGGCGAGGGCTCGCCGACCGCCTTCTTGGCCAGCCAGGTGAAGGGCGGAGCCGGCGAGTACGGGGGCTACGTCCTGGACCCGCTGCTGGACTTCGTCGCCGCTGGAGGCGGGAAGAGGAGGGGGCAGCCCTTCGCTCGCCGCCGCGCCCAGGACGGCGAGGACGTGAAGGACGAGCTGGACGTGATGACGTCCGTGTCGCAGCCCGAGCGCTGCGTCCTCACGGGCGAGCCGCTGATGGAGCTGGTCGTCGAGGGCCTCGGCGGCAAGACGGGCGTCGTGCCGCTGGCAGTGGACGGCGTCGACGTCACCGCGCGGCTCGGCAGCAAGCTGGAGAGCATCGACGGGCAGCAGGACGTCGACCACAGCGGGCCCCTGCGTGGCGAGGGGGCAGGCCAATGCGACGGTGAGAGCAAGCTGGAGGGCCTCGACAACGTGAAGGGCTTCGGCTACCGCCAGCCCCTGCGCGGCGAGGGGGTAGGCCACGGCGAGGGCGAGAGCAAGCTGGTCCAGGCCCCGATCCAGGCCAAAATCCTCACGGGGCCCTTCCGCAAAAGAACTGGAGGGCATCGACGTGCCGAAGGACGTCGACCACGGCGAATCCCTGCGCGGCGAGGGGGCAGGCCACTGCGGGTTCGAGGGCAAGCTGGAGGGCCTCGACGCGCTGCACGGCGTCGACCACGGCAGACCCCTGCACGGCGAGGGGGTAGGCCACTGCGAGTGCGAGGGCAAGCTGGAGGGCAGCGACGTGCTGAAGGACGTCGACCATGGTGGACCCCTGCGTGGCGAGGGTGTAGGCCACTGCGAGTGCGAGTGCAAGCTGGAGGGCAGCGACGTGCTGCAGGACGTCGACCACGGTGGACCCCTGCGTGGCGAGGGTGTAGGCCACGGGGAGTGCGAGGTCAAGCTGGAGGGCCTCGACGTGATGAAGTGCAAGCTGTTGGGCATCGGCAAGAAGGGCAGGCCTTGGAAGGCGAGCAAGGCCGCGCAGGCGACGGAGAGCGCCGCGGGCAGAAGCTCAGCCTGGCCTCCGCGGGTGCCGCGAGCTGGAGGCCCGGCTCGCAGCCGCCCGCGCCGACCTCGCCATTGAGGAGATCGAGGTGCGCGCGGTGGCGGCGGAGCCGGCGGCGGCGGGCGGGGCCTGGGACGAGCCCCTCGCCTGAGGCCGCCGGCCTTCCCGTGCCTCGGGCGCGGGGGTCAGGGCGTGGCGGCTCGACCGTCACTCCTCCGCTTCGCTCTTGCTCATACTCTTACTCGTGCTCTTGCTCTTGCCCTTACTCTTACTCCTCCTCCTCCTCCTCCTCCTCCTCATCCTCCTCCTCCTGTTCCTGCTCCCACCTCCTACTCTTCCTCCTCCTCCTTCTCCTCCGCCGCCCACCTCCTCCAACGTCACATCAACCCTCTCTTCCCCTCATCTCCCCATGTCCCGCCCCCTCTCCATCTTCCCCCCTCTCCCTGCCCTCTCACCTTCCCTCTCTCTCTCTCTCTCTTTCTCGCCCCCCTTCCTCTCCGTTTTGCTCTCCCCCCCCTCATTTAAAGTCTAGCCGCCTATGCTGCGGGAGGCTCATCATGAGGTGCGCGGCCTCCAGAAGGGCGGGGCGGGGAGTGGGAGAAAGGATAATTAAGGACCAGCAGGAAAGCTGAGGAAGGAGGGAGAACAGGGTAGGGAGGTGAGGAGGTGAGTAGGACGGAGCAGGAAGCTGAGAAGGAGGAAATTGGAGAGGAGCACGGGGCATGATGATGATTCTGATGCTGGTGGTGACGATTACGAGGGAGAAGGAAGACAAGGAGGAGGAACAGCAGCAGCAGCAGCAGCAGGAGAAGGAAGCGAGGAGCAGTGGGAAGAGGAGGAGAATGAGGAACAGGAAGAGGAGGAGGAGGAGGAGGAGGAGGAGGAGGAGGAGGAGGAGGAGGAGGAGGAGGAGGAGGAGGAGGAGGAGGAGGAGGGAGGAGGAGGAGGAGGAGGAGGAGGAGGAGGAGGAGGAGGAGGAGGAGGAGGAGCAAGCGGAGAACCTCTCGCCCCCCAGGCCGCCCCGGCCCGAGACGAGGCCGCCGCGGCGGCCCGCGCCACTCGGCGGCCGGCGGCCGGCCCGCGGCGGGCCTCGGCGGCGGGGGCCCTCCGCTCGCGGCCGGCCACTCTCGCCAGCGCCCGGGCCTGCGCCTGGGCCTGCGCGTGGGGGCATCCCTGCCCACACCTCGGGGGCGGCGGGCTTCAGAGGCGAGGTCACGGCCTTGGAGCGCGAGGGCAACAGGATCGCGGACAGGCGGGCCAAGGAGGGCGCGGCGCGGCAGGCCCCAGCGGACGAGCACCTCCTGGTGCTGGACGGGCCCGCCGCCGGGGCGGGGAGCTCGTCGCCGCCGCCGCGGCGGGCGGCCTCTCGGCGTACGTCGGGCCTGGCCCCCATACAGGGGGAGCTTCGACGACGAACAAAAACGACCCCCCAAAGAATACCCCAAGAAGGTCGAAAGATACTCAAAAAATAGTCCCCAGACCATGTTTCGACGATCTTGGGGGTATCTTTCAACTTTTCGTCGAAGGATCCCCCTGTAGGGGGACAGGCCCGACTTCACTCTTGGCCCCCCCCGCCGCGGCCACGAGGCCTCGCCTCGTCGCAGCCGCCGGGCGAGTGCGCGGATCGCCGGGCGAGCAGGGAGCGTCGTGCCGCGGGCGGGCCGCGGCCCGCCGCGGCGGGCGTCGGCGGCGGGCCGGCGCTCGGCGCCGCCTGGTGCGGCAGCGGGGCGGGGGATGGCTGGCAGCGCACAGCGCCAGCGGCCGCTCGGCCAGGAGGAGCGACTGTGGGAAGGCTCCTCCCTCGGGGGGGGGGGGCCTGGGCTGAGTCCGCGGAGAGGATGCCGCTCCCCATCCACCCGGGACACGCTGCTGCTTATGCACACGACGGGCGACTGCGACCCTCAACTACGCAGTTGCCGAGTTCATCTCCACAGGTGGTTTGGAGGGAGGAGGAGGAGGAGGAGGAGGAGGAGGAGGAGGAGGAGGAGGAGGAGGAGGAGGAGGAGGAGGAGGACTAGGCATTTGGTCGACAACAGTCAGCCGCGAGGGAGCAGCTGCACAGGCGCGATCCCAATGGGCCACCAAAGGGTGGGCGCTACACAGATTCACAGGTATTTGGTGGCATCGCGCCTCTGATGGACAGTTCTGGTCGAACCTCCACTGGTGGGTGCATGTCGTGGTTGCTCTAGCGGTCGAATTTTGTCTTCGGCTCGGCGACGGCGCGCTGTCCACAGAAGTGGGGCCTCCCCTCCTCCAGCGGTGGGTGAGTGGGAGCAACGCCATCGAGTACGTGTTCGCTTCGCCTTCGACGGCTGCTACGTGTGCCTCGGAAGGGGTACATCAAGACTTGATGCGCCATCGACGGCATCGCCGTGGTTGGCTTCCTTGGCGTCGGCCTCTCGCTCGCGAACTCCGGCAGCGCTGCCGCTGCTGACCTCCTGGGCGCCACGCTTCCGCGTCGACGCCCAGCTGGTGATCCCCCTCTGCTCCCTTCTCTCGGCGCGGCTCCACGCCAGAAGCGCGAGCCTGCACCTCCGAACACGAGCCCCGGGCAGTCTACCAGGGGAACAAGAAGTGGCATAAACATACAGTCGGGGCCTTGACCTAAGGAACCCTCTTTCCATAAGTTAAACTTCGATTTCCGATCGAAAACATAAGGAAAACCCGAGGCAAGCTGTGAAACACTTAAGGAACGCGGAGCCCCTCCCCAACGAAAAGGGTTCCTTCTTCAGGGCCCCGACTGTACTAGGGGAACAAGAAGTGGCATAAACATAAAAACTCGGAGGTCCGCGCGGATTTCTCGGATCGGCGCTGGGCCCCCCTCCCTGGCGCGCGCAGGGGGGTCTCCCGCACGGGGGGGCACGGAGGCACACGCGAGAACGGAGCGAGGGAAAAGAGCAGGGGAGGAGGAGGAGGAGGAGGAGGAGGAGGGGGGGAGGAGGAGGAGCAGCAGCAACAGGATGAGGAGGAGAAGCGGGAAGATGAGGAGGATGAGGAGGAGGAGGAGGAGGAGAAGCGGGAAGATCATGATGATGATGATGATGATGATGATGATGAGGAGGAGGAGGAGGAGGAGGAGGAGGAGGAGGAGGAGCAAGAGCAAGAGCAAGAGCAAGAGCAAGAGCAAGAGCACACGCAACCAGAGCGTTTCTCCTCTCCCGTCGGTGCTGCTGACAGGCTTGCCCTGGGGAGCAGCCGCCCTCACTCCACCACCTTCTGGGCATACGCCCGGAGGAGGCGGTCCAGGAAGTAGAGAACGCCGTCGCACGTCAGGTGGCGCTGCGCGAAGGTCAGCGCACGTTGCGCGATCCTGGACTCGAGGAACGCTAGGGGGGACCAACTCCAGGGGAGCGCCAGGACATTTCGAGCTTCGAGGTTCGAGGTTTTCAAGCGTTTGGGTTGGCGTTCGGCGGTTTTCCAGCCTCGGGATGCCTTCCAGCGGCTGCGCCTTGCCGAGAACGCTCCTGGGGTGCACGGATCGTTCCGAACGGCCGCCAGAGGCTCGAAGTATGACCCGGAAACCACCGCGGGACTGTCTCGGGAGGGGAAACGTCGAGCTGGAATCGGCGATACATCGTCGATAGATCGGCCATGCAGCCGGGCTACTGAGATAAAGAACGCGAGTCGCCAGTCAGGGAACGGCGCCCCTCGTATGCCTTCGATTCACACGAGCCTGGGTGCACGAGGAGGGCTCGAGGAAGCACCATGGAAGGACCCGGTGAACAACGAGATCCGACCCCGAAGTGTTCCTCACTTCAGCGTCCTGTCCGCAGGCCCCACACAGCACGCGGAGTGGGCTGGAAGGGCCCCCGCCGGCGACGAGGAGGCCATCGGGGGCCGACCCGAGCCTGCGCACCCCCCCGACGCTACCCCTGAGATCCTGCGCGCTTCGTCGTCGTTTTCTCGGAGCCACGAGACTCGGTCGACGAGGTCGCTCAGGTCGTACCTCGGGGGGTGGGGCAAGACGATGCCGATGCCGCTGCTCCCCGGACCTCTCCCGGGGCGCGCTCTGACCAGGACTTCGAAGCGAAGCTGGCCGTGGCGACGAGGGCCTCCCACGAGTCCCAGAAAGGCGAGAACGAGGCAAGGGTGGCGGTATAGATCCGAAGTTGCGAAACAAATGCAGCGTCGCTATAAAAACACGACCATATAGCCCGCCCCATCTTTCGGCGGCTTTTCTCGAGCCGAGCCGATCTGATGGCCCTGCGGCCCGAAACTGGGTGAACACGCCCCTCGTGCAAAAACTGCAATGCCGGGATCTCGGGGCTTTCCTCCCCTGGGTGCCGCACGGGCACGTAGTGGACGTACGGCTCCAGCAGCTCCCTCAGGGCCAGCTCCTGCCACGGGCCCTCCGGCACGAGCACCACGGAGCCCGTGAACAGCTGCCAGTACAGCCGGTCGGCCGCCGAGTCGCCCTCGAGGGCGGCGGTGTACTTGTACTGGGCCTGCTCCTCGATGCTCATCGGCTCCGAGAGCAGGCCCTCGTCCTCCAGTCCCAGACCCCCGACGTCATGAATTTTTCATGACGTCGACCCCCAGAGGTCCCGACCCTTTCCCCATGACCGGCTTTTCATCCTGAGTCGTTTTTTGACGCTCCCGAGGCCCGGTGAGGGCCCCCGGAGGCCAAAAATAGCGAAAAACCTCCCGTCGTGATTTTTTCACGGCGCCAGGAGGTCTGGGGTGGCACGAGGCCTCGGGCTGCGCGCCGGCAGCCCCCGCCCCCCGGCAGCCCCTGGCTCGCCTCCACGGGCCCCGCGAGGAGTGCGCAGGGCGGCCTGCGCACCCTGGCGCCGCCTCCGGCGGCGCCCCTGGGGCGCTCTCCCCCCGCCCTGGACTCGGGAGGAGGAAGAGGAGGAGGAGGAGGAGGAGGAGGAGGTGGAGGAGGAGGAGGAGCAGGAGCAGGAGGAGGAGGAGGAGGAGCAGGAGGAGGAGGAGGAGCAGGAGGAGGAGGAGGAGGAAGCGAGGGAGAAAAGGGAGGAGGAGGAGGAGCTTGTGGAGGCCAGCCGGGACCAATTACGGGGGGGGGGCGGCTGCCGCTGCGCCGCCCGAGGCCTCGCCAGGTCCTCCAAGAAGCGCTCGAGCTCGGAATGCAGCGGGAGGAACGGTGACCGCACCAGCTTCGCGTCGACCACGGGAGGCCAGAAGGCAGCATCCGCATGAGCTTTCGGAGTTCGGCGCGGAATCCCTGCGTCGGCGCTGGACACACACACACACACATTCACACGCCACACACGCACACACGCACACACGAGCACACGCACACACGCACACACGCACACACGCACACACGCACACACGCACACACGCACACACGCACACACGCACACACGCGCACACGCGCACACGCGCACACGCATTCACGCGCAGACGCACGCACGCGCACACGCGCGCACGCGAACAAGCACACACGCGCACACGCGCACACGCGCACACGCGCACACGCGCACACGCGCACACGCGCACACGCGCACACGCACACACGCGCACACGCGCACACGCGCACACGCGCACACGCGCACACGCGCACACGCACACAGGCGCACACGCGCACACGCGCACACGCGCACACGCACAAACGCGCACACGCGCACACGCGCACACGCGCTCACGCGCACACGCGCACACGCACACAGGCGCACAGGCGCACAGGGGCACACGCATACACGCACACACGCACACACGCACACACGCACACACGCACACGCAAACGGACACGCACACACACAGGGCCAAACTCCGCTCGAAATGCCACCCCGATCGAAACGCTCTCGAATCATGATCTCTGTTCAGCCGCTTTTCCCTTTGCCTTTGAGACCTGGTTTGCGCCGCATGCTAGCATCTGCTGGCTTTGCGGTGCTCGAATGCGTCTCGCACAACACTTTCAGGACTCGAGGGCGGGGGAGACCGGGATCAAAAGCCCTGCGTTTGGGACCGGGTCTGTTCGATACGAGGGCGTTTCAGGCCACGAGGAGGAGGGGGAGGAGGAGGAGGAGGAGGAGGAGGAGGAGGAGGAGGAAACAGGAGGAGGAGGGGGAGGAGGAGGAGGAGGAGGAGGAGGAGGAGGAGGAGGAGGAGGAGGAAACAGGAGGAGGAGGAGGAGGAGGAGGAAAGAGGAGGAGGAGGAGGAGGAGGAGGAGGAGGAGGAGGAGGAGGAGGAGGAGGAGGAGGTGTTGGCCTTCTGGTGGCGCCTCCGGCCCGATACACCCCTGGCGGCGCCTCCACCGCGCTCCACGCGCCCAGGAGCCGCGGGCGGGGAAGGGGGTGGCCAGCGCCCCCGCCGAGAAAAATCCGCTCGGATCCCCCGAGAGCGAAGGGGCCCCAGGACACACCAACAAGCAGACACAGATCACCGGATTCCCCCATAGTTTCCCACATCTTCTGGGCTTCTGTCTTCCCCCCCCCACCTCCCACATTCTCCCATCTCTTCTGGGGAATCGAAGATTCATTGTGTCTGTGTGTTTCTTAAAACGGGGCTAGGATCGGGATAAATCGCTCCAGAGCGTTCTGGAGCGCTCTCAGAGCGTTCCGGAACGCTCTGGAGCGGCCGCGGCGCCCAATACATCCTGCGAACCCGCCGATTCTCAGAGATTTCGAGTTATCCCGATCCGATTTTGTCCCGATCTTCGCGTCGTTTTATTTCTTCCCCTCCTGAGAGAGCTCCTGGCGCCTGCTTCCTGGCCCCCCGGCTCAGCGAGGGCGCGAACCGCGAGAGCCACACGAGCCGTCCGCGCTGCAGGGAGAGCCACGTGGACGCGTTCCAGGTGCAGTCCCGGTGCTCGCCTGCGCGGCGCGGGGCCAGCGGAGCCGAGCAGGGGCCGAAGGGAGGAGGAGGAGGAGGAGGAGGAGGAGGAGGAGGAGGAGGAGGAGGAAAGAGGAGGGAGGAGGAGGAGGAAAGAGGAGGGAGGAGGAGGAGGAGGAGGAGGAGGAGGAGGAGGAGGAGGAAAGGAGGAGGAGGAGGAGGAGGAGGACAGAGGAGGGAGGAGGAGGAGGAGGTGTTGGCCTTCTGGTACCACGAGATGTTTAGAACCCAACAATGCAGTAAGAACAGAAACAGCGTTTGCAGAACATCAGCCCGATGTGCTACAACAAGACAACATCGGCCAGAAATGTTCTAAGGACGCGTCCTGCAGACCACATAAAATGTTCTTAGAACATTCTTTGGTGGGCCTAGATAGGCCAGCCAGGACGCCTCGCAGCTGCTTCACTGAGGCAGCGGCGCCCGTTCCCGCCTGGCCCACATCTGCGCAGGCTCGGGCCCCGTATTCCTCCGGGGGGCCCATCCGAGGCAGAGCCCGCCGTGTCCACGAGAGGCCTCCCGGAGGCCTGCAGCCGAACATCTGATCCAGAAACCTGTCACTTGAGACATCTGGGCCAGCTTCCCTGGAGCTTCTTCTACAAAAAAACCAGCCTGGGCCAAGTGTTCGTGAGAACGCTGGGAGGGCGAACGCGCTCAGGAGACTGCGCCAGCTTTCGGGCAGGTTGGTTGAGAAACGCTGACCCAGCTTTCGCGAGGAGGCTTCTTGATCAGATGCTCGACTGTTCAGTAGGGGCTCGACCACAAGAAACCTTCCAGAAGCAACCCAACCCTGAGACCCCAAGCCGCCCATCGATTTTGCATGAAAGGGACCAAACCGAACCGAGAACCGATGACCGTGACCGGTCCGGACCGAGCTGGACCAATACAGAAACAAATAAAAACATAATTAACCAGACCGAACCGAATTCATTCAGAACCGAACCGGGGAACCGAACCGAACCAGAACCGGAACCGAACCGGAACCAGGCGGCCGCCCCCGAACCGAACCGACGTGAACCGAACCGGACGTCCCAACACAGCCCGCACAGGACCGCAGGACGACGAGCCCAACCACCCCAGAAGACGACGAGGCTGGAGGCAGCCAGTGCCGAAGCCTGAGCCAATATGTGCAAGCGGCGACGATGATGACCACAACGAATATAAGGACGTCGGGGCAGGCCGGGGCAGGTCGGAGCATGTCGGGGCGGGTCGGGGCGGATGGGGGCGGGTCGGGGCGGACCAGGGCAGATCGGGGCGGGTCGTCCGCGGCGGTCCGCGGGAGGGCGGGGCCCCCCCGCGCGAAGGCAAGGGGCCGCCGCCGTGGTACCCGGGCTCCCGCGGGAACCACCCCACCAGCAAACCACTGGCCCCCCCCGTGCGCGACCCCTCCCGTGGCGACCCCTCCCCGCGGCGACCCCCCCGGCGACCCCCTGACCCCCCCGTGGCGACCCCCCCGTGGCGACCCCCCCGTGGCAACCCCACCCGTCGCGATCCCGCGACCCCCCCGGTCGCGACTTCCTCCGTCGCGACTCCCCCGGTCGCGACTTCCCCCGTCGCGATTCTCCCCCCGGTCGCCCCCCCCCCCCCTTCCCGTCACGACCCCCCCCCGGTCGCGGCAACCCCCCTCCGCCGCGACCCCACCCCCCTCCGCGACCCCTCCAGTCGCGACCCCCCTTCGGCGGCGGGGACAGGGGGGTCCGCGGCGGACCGCGGCAGGGCCGGCGGGCAGCCCCCCCCCCGGAAGGCGCGAGGGCAGGGGGGCCGCTGGGGCGCCGGGGGTCCCGTGCGTTCCCCCCCCCCCCCCCCGCGTGGCGCCCCCCCCCCGTCGCGGCCCCTCCCCTGCGCGACCTCCCCCCCGTGGCGACCCCCCTTCGGCGGGCCCCGTCGGGGCGCCCTGCACGGCGCCCCCCGTCGTCGTCGTCGTCGTCGTCGTCGTCGTCGTCGTCGTCGTCGTCGGCGGCGGCGGCGGCGGCGGCGGCGGCGGCCGTCGTCGTCGTCGTCGTCGTCGTCGTCGTCGTCCGTCGTCGTCGTCGTCGTCGTCGTCCCTTCGGCGGCGGCGCGGCGGCGGGCGGCGGCGGCGGCGTCGTCCGTCGTCGTCGTCGTCGTTTGCGCGGCGGCGCGCGCGGCGGCGGAAGGGAAGGCAGGGGCAACCGCCACTTCGAGGCGTTCCGCGTGGCCAGGACAGCCCACGGCGTCACAACAGGAGGCGTCACAGGAGGCCTCCTCCTCCTCCTCCTCCTCCTCCTCCTCCTCCTCATCCTCCTCCGCCTCACTCCTCCTCCTTCCCTCTCCTCCTCCTCCTCCTCCTCCTCTACCTCCCATCCCCTCCTCCTGACCTCCTCCTCCTCCTCCTCCTCCTCCTCCTCCTCCTCTCCTCCTCCTCCTCCCCTCCTCCCCTCCTCCTCCTCCTCCTCCTCCTCCTCCTCCTCCTCCTCCTCCTAATCCTCCTCTCTCCTCCTCCTCCTCCTCCCTCCTCCTCCTCCTCCTCATCCTACTCCTCCTTTCCTCCCCTCTCCTCCTCCTCCCCTCCCTCCTCCTCCTCCTCCTCTCCTCCTCTCCTCCTCCTCCTCCTCCTCCTCCTCCTCCTTTTCGGTCAAACTGGGCCGTCGCTTTTCCGTACGGGTCGGCGCCCAACGCCGCTAATCGCACCAAGCCGCGCGAAAACAGGAACCGAACCGAACCAGAGCCAAACCCAAAACTGTGTCAAACCGAACCGGCCAAGCAAAACCGAACCGGCTGCAAAACCGGACCGAACCGAACCGAACCGACTCCTTCATGATTTTGGCGTGGGCACGCCACGCTTTCCGTAGCAAACCCTTTGAAGCCCAAGAAACCCAGGACACCCTGGAGGCAAGCAGGGTGTTTTTTGGCATGGGTCTCCACCCCAGACATGCGACGTCCCTGATGTCTTCAAGACGGCGCCCCCGGAAGTCTCGACCCTTTCCCCAGGACCGGCTTTTCGTCCCGAGTCGTTTCTTGACGGCCCCGGGGCCCGGCGAGGGCCCCCCGGGGCCGAAAAGAGCAAACAACCTGCCGTCCTGATTGATTATTTATTATCATTATAATTATACGTATTATTAGTATTGTTATTGTTAGTATCATTCGTATTATCATTATTAGTACTAGCATTACTATTAGTACTATTATTATTCGTACTAATACTAATGTTAATAGTAGTCTTAGTGTTATCATTATTCGAATTATTAGTAGTATTAGAATTATCATTTTTATTATACCAAGATTCTTCTTCTTTATTAGTATTCGTATGATGATTAGTATTATTACTGTTATTGTTGTTATTATTATTATTAGTATTACTATTGTTATTGTTATTATTATTATTAATATGTTATTATTATTATTATTATTATTATTATTATTATTATATTATTATTATTATTAGTATTATTATTATTATTATTACTACTATTAGTAGTATTATAGTAGTAGTAGTAGTAGTAGTAGTAGTAGTAGTAGTAGTAGTAGTAGTAGTAGTAGTAGTAGTAGTAGTAGTAGTAGTAGTAGTAGTAGTAGTAGTAGTAGTAGTAGTAGTAGTCTAGTGTCTTTGTTTTGAAGCAAAAATAAACGCGATCATGTCTGGGACTGCACCTGCAACTGAGAAGAAAAGAAAACGCCGTCCACCACGAGCCGTACTTCGACGCGAAATCCCCGCCCGTGGCGACGAGGGGAGAGACCCTGGAAGAGCACGAAGGCCGCCAGGGAGGGCCGAGGAGGAGGAGGAGGAGGAGGAGGAGGGAGGGAGGGAGGGAGGGAGGGAGGGAGGGAGGGAGGGAGGAGGAGGAGGAGGAGGAGGAGGAGAAGGGGAGGAGGAGGAGGGCTCTCTCTCTCCTTCCCCCCCCCCCCCCCCCCTGCCTCTCCCAACACCCCCCCCTCCCGAGGAGGAGGAGGCTCTCGGCGCCTGGGTGGAGAACCGCTCCGTCGACTGGCCCTCCTCCGACAGCCTTCGGGCGAGAACTCGAGCCTCGGGCAGCTGCTAGGGACGATTCCGGCATCCCCCACACGCCCGTGACGACGAGGGGCCTCCAGGAAGCAGGAAGGCCGCCAGGGAGGGCCACCGCTCTCGACTGGCCCTCCTCCGACAGCCTTCGGGCGATGACTCGAGCCTCGGTCGGGGGCGCGCAAGCATGGATCCGCGATCCACGGACTTGGCGCGCGGTCGCCACATCCATGGAATGGGGGGGGGACCTCCCCAGGTTGCGGCCGGTGCCGCCTCGCTCGGCGGCGGAAGTCCGCGATTTCCCGTGGAAACGGGACCCGAGGTGAAGCCACTCGATCATTGAAGTAGGAAGGCGCTTGAAGTATGCCATGTTGTAGGTCGGGCGTGTCCTCCTACAGGCGGATTTGGGACGAAACATAAAAATAGTCAAACAATTACCAAAACATGCTCAACATGTACTCCAGACATCGTCCCCAGACGATGTTTGGACGATTTTGTGAACCTTCCTCCAGAAGGGGGGGAACACGCCCGACTCAAAAATACCTGCTTTCAACGACCGAGGGGTGCCTGCTCCTCCTCCCCAGGTCCCCGACGTCATGAATTTTTCATGACGTCGACCCCAGCGGTCTGGACCCCTTCCCTGGGACCGGTTTGTCGTCCCGAGTCGTTTTTTGACGCTCCCGAGGCCCGGTGAGGGCCCCCGGAGGCCAAAAATAGCGAAAAACCTCCCGTCGTGATTTTTCACGACGCCAGGAGGTCTGGGTCTGCGGGCCGCCGTCGCCTCGACTGGCCCCCCCCCCAGGCCTGCGGGCAGCCGGCCGCAGGCCTCCAGCTCACGCGCGCTCGCGGCCGCGAGCGCGGGCCTGCGGCGCCGCCGGCAGGCATCCACAGCCGCTGCTGCTGCTGCTGGAGGCTTCCCCGGGATCCGGGGGGAGCGGCAGATGTGGGCGCAGGCACGATCGCGTCGTGGAAGGATCCGGACGGCAAGCTTTTCGCTCTCTTCGGCCCCCGGGGGGCCCTCGCCGGGCCCCGGGGCCGTCGACAGAAACGCCTCGCGCGGGGGACGAGGCGCCGGACCCGGGGAAAGGGGTCTCTGGACTTCCGGGGGCGCCGTCTTGACAAGAGCAGCACGTCGCATGTCTGGCGGGGTGGGAGCGGCAGATGTGGACGTCTTCCCGCCCTCGGGGGCGGGAAGATGTCCGCGCCCACCGCTCGTGGAGGGGACCTCGAGCTCCCGGGGCCGACCCCGAAGCGGTGAACGGGGCGTCCATGGAGTCCCGACGCCCTCTCCCCCCGGGCCGGCCTCTTCCTCCCCAGTCGTGCTCTGAAGGGCCCGGGTCCCGGCGAGGGCCCACGGAGAGGCCGGAAGCGACGCACCCCGATATGATCGCGTCGTGAAACAACAATCCGGACGGAAGTTTTTCGCCGTTTCGATCTCTAGAGAGGCCCTCGCCGGGCCCGGGGCCGTCCAAAAACGACTCAGGATGAAACACCGGCCCCGAAGAAAGGGTTTGGACTTCCGGGGACGCCGCACTACAATCAGGACGTCGCATGTCTGGGAAGAAACGCCGCCCTGTTCTGGTTCCTGCAGGATTCAGGACGTTCCCTCCCAGAGGCCTCCCGGATGGGGCCCGAGTAGCCGATGCCTCGGCGATGCATCGGCAACGTCGGCGTGGAGAAGTCGGGCTCCACATCGAGCCGGATTGGTGATCCTCCGACCCCACTGGGGCCCCACCTGGGAGACCCAGAGGCTCCTGGGGCCGTCTCTAGAAAAGAAAACGGCATACACATAAACTGTTGGCGCTGCGCGCGGATTTTTTGGATCTGCGCTGGACCCTCCCTCCCTGGCGCGGAGCGCGCCAGGGGCGGCGCTGGAGGCGCCGCCGGGGGGGTCCCAGCGCGGATCCGAGAAATCCGCGCGGAACGCCAACAATTTATGTTTATAGCGTTCTTTTTTCGTCGAGTCGCTGAAGCGGTGGACCTGGGAGGCCTAACTCCCGGGGCCGTCTCTGGGGAGACCGAAAGGCACTGATACTGCTACTCCCCGGACCTCTCCCACGGTGCGTTCCGACGAGGATTTCGTGGCGCATCCAGCGGTGGCGACGAGGGCCTCCAAGGATGCCCAACAAGGAGAAGACAACGAGACAGGGGTAGAGTTGAGTCGGGCGTGTCCCCCTCTAGGGGGACTTTCGACGACAAATAAAGAATACGCAAAGCATACGCCAAAAAGGTTTAACAAAATAGTTTAAAACATAGTCCCCAGACTATTTTGGGACTATTGTTTTGCTCTTTTTGGGGGTAGTTTTTATCTTCCGTCGAAAATCCCCCTGTAAAGGGGGACAGGCCAGGCCCGACTGAGGGGTAGAGGCCTGGGTGCCTTCTCCTCCTCCGAGTCTCTGCAGCGGTGGACCTGGACGCCTTCTGGCGCGCCGGGCCTGCAGCGCGCCGCGCGGCAGTTCGACGGCGCCCCGCGCCAGGCGAGCCTGGCGGCGCGGTGCTCCCAGGGCGCCGCCTCCGCGGCGCGGGCCGCGCGCGAGAGGTGCCGCAGGCACTGGCCTCGGAGCTGCAGGCGACGGCGTGAGCTCAGGTCGGGCATCGCTCGGGCGTCCACTCCCTGTGTTTTTGTGCGGTTTCGTGCGCGGCTTTTTCGCCACATGATCCAGGATGCTCCTCGATGGTCCTCGCCGAAGGAAAACTGCACACGTCCGAGGGATGCCAAGTGAGGTCGGGCATGTCCTCCTGCAGGCGGGTGCTGCACGGAGCACGAAGGAGAAGCAGGAGATGCTCAGGCTTCGCCAGACATCGCCGAAGCGTGCCCAGAGATCCGATGTAGTGTTTTTTTCAATACGGGGTCCCAGGAAGTCCCGACCCTTTCCCCAGGGCCGGTTTTTCATCCTGCGTCGTTTTTTGACGGTCCCGGGGCCCGGCGAGGGCCTCTAGAGGCCGAAAATAGCACAAAACCTCCGTCTAGATTTTTTCAATACGTTGGATCTCTGGGTGCCCAGACGTCGTCAAGCACGGTCGAAGCATCGTTCCCAGGCTGTATTCTGGCTTTGTGTGGAACCTTCCTCCCGTCGAGGGACCTGCCCGACTCCTGCCACCGCTCGGCCGTCCATCCCCCGCATCTCTCGGAAACTGGCCCAGTATATGCTCTCGATGGTCCTCGCCAAGAAAAAACCCAGAGATCCAACGCATTGAAAAAAATCAAGACGGAGGTTTTTTGCTATTTTCGGCCTCTAGAGGCCCTCGCCGGGCCCCGGGACCGTCAAAAAACGACTCGGGATGAAAAACCGGTCCCGGGGAACGGGTCTGGACTTCCGGGGACGCCGTCCTGAAAAAATCAGGACGTCGCATGTCTGGGGAAAATGGCCCAGTATATGCTCCTCGATGGTCCTCGCCGAGGAAAACATGCACACGTCCGAGCGAGGCCAGGTGTTGTTCTGTTGCGGGTGCTTTCTCGACGACGAGCAGGAGGGGCCCTGGGTAAGAGTGACCTTTGGTGCGCTGCGTTTTGGGGGGCCGTGGGGTGGGGTGGGGGTGGGGTGGGGGGGGGGCAAACACCAGCGCTCGAGACGCCACTACTCACCGTGCCGCGTTCGGCGACCGAGGGGCCCCAGTGGGCCCGCACCAAAGGCCACTCCGGCGAAGGGCCACTCCTGCGCGCAGTCGAGCTTGTTCCTCCTCGATGGCCAGGGTGCAGCTGCCACTCCACCGGCAGCGCGAGCGTGTTGGTCCACCTCTCACATAAAGGGGCCCCAACAGAGCGGCGGCCGCAGACCGCGCGGGGCCTCGGAAATGCCCCATAGGCCCCACGCCGCGCGGCCCGCCACCACCGCGCGGCTTCGGGGACCTCGGAGGCACCCCTCGCCCGAGGCGCCCTCGGACGGCCCTGGTCTCGAGACGCGCCGCGCTGCTTTGGGACCTCCGGCGCCTGGTGCCCACGCGGGTGAACACCGGGACGTCGCCGCCGGAGGTGTCCAGGGTTAGGGGGCCACATGCGAACCCTACCCCTGCCCCCCTCCCCCCACGATTTCTGAGGGGGAGGGCGGGGCTCACTCTGCCCGGGAGCTCCCGAACGAGGTGAAAACCCCCCCCTCCCCCCTCAGAAGTCGTGGGGGGGGGCAGGGGTAGGGTTCGCATGTGGCCCCCTGAGGGTGACGTCCCCGGCGTTCACCAGCAGGTCCAGGTCGGGCAGCGGCGCGGCGGCGGACACGGCGTCCAGCGCCGCCACGAGCGCCCGCGCGTAGGAGCAGTCGAAGCCGGGGCACGCGCGCGCCTCGTCGCACGGCGCCGCGCGCCCGGCGCGGACCGCAATCAGGCAGCCTTCAGGAGGGAAAGAAATACACAGGCACAATTAATCGTCGATTTCCCAGAAAAGACGGGAAAACATGGGAAGTGGGGGGGAAGAAAACAACCCAGAAAATATATGAAAAGATGGGGAATCTTTATATTTGTGTGTACTTATTTTTGTGTGTCCCAGGGCCCCTTCAAGCCTCCGGCGTGCGTGCTCGGCGTCAGCTGCCACCGCGCCGACCGCGCCGCGGCCGCGGCGGCCCCGCGGCGCACGCGCAGGCCGGGCCCCACGTGGGCCTGGATCGCCGCCTCCAGCGAGGGGTCCGGCGCCTCCTGGGCGCGCCGCGCCAGCACCGGGTGGCAGCAGCGCCTGTGCACCGCTGGTTGGAGGAAGAGGATGCACGGCGTGTAGGCAGAAACTCCCATGATGGCGTCGTGAAAAAATCAAGACGGAGGTTTTTCCCTATTTTAGGCCTCCAGAGGCCCTCGCCGGGCCCCGGGACCGCCAAAAAACGATTCGGGACGAAAAACCAGTCCCGGGGAAAGGGTCGGGACTTCCGGGGACGCCGTCCTGAAAAAATCAGGACGTCGCATGTCTGGGTCTGGCCCCCGGCGCCGATCCGAGAAGTCCGCGCGGAGCCTGCTCACGTGTGCCGGTCGGAGACGCGGGCAGAAGCATGGAGTAGGACGGCGTTGGAGTCAGATCGGGCTCCCGCCCGCCCCCTCTGAGGAGGAGGGAGGGGGAAACACCTGCCGACCCCTGAAGTAGGAAGGCGGCTACACCAGATCGACTTGGATCTGGGAATCCGAGCCCAGACAGGAGACGTCCTGACTTTTTCAGGACGGCGTTCCCAGAAGTCCAGACCCTTTCCCCAGGGCCGGTTCTTCATCCCGAGTCGTTTGTTGACGCTCCCGAGGCCCGGCGAGGGCCTCTAGGGGCCGAACATAGCGAAAAACTGCCCGTCCTGATTTTTTACGACGCCATCATGTCTGGGAGAGCACCTCCGAGACCCCCGACGTCATGAATTTTTCATGACGTCGACCCCAGCGGTCTGGACCCCTTCCCTGGGACCGGTTTGTCGTCCCGAGTCGTTTTTTGACGCTCCCGAGGCCCGGTGAGGGCCCCGGGAGGCAAAAAATAGCGAAAAACCTCCCGTCGTGACTTTTTCACGACGCCAGGAGGTCTGGGTTCAACGACCGGCGAGTGCGCCACTCCTGCTCCTTCGGCCCCCGCAGCCACGGCTCTTGGGCGCCTTCGGCCCCCGCACCGCCGGCTCTCCGCACCGAGTCTTGGCACGCTACGCTTAAGTCGGGCGTGTCCCCCTACAGGGGATTTTCGACGAAGAATCAAAAATAATCAAAAAATAGTCCAAAATGGCAGAAAAAATGCTCAAAAAGTAGTCCCTGGACTATTTTTTGACTTTTTTGACTATTCTTCCTGTAAAGGGACAGGCCCGACTTAACGCTACGCTGCCCCACACCAAATTCTTGAACTCAACAAACAGAAACCTGGTCTTTGAATTCAAGACGCAGGTTTTTGAATTCAAAAAAATGTGAAGTCAAAAAACGGCTTTTGAATACAAAGCAATGTTTAAATTCAAAAAAATTGAATTAAAACAGCGGTTTCCGAATCCAGAGACCAGTGTCCGAAACCGACAGCGGCCGCTGTTGGGCAGGCGGCGCCTCGTCTTCTGTGCGCCGCGTCCGCCTGCAGAGGGACGGGCCCGACTTGAGCCTCGACAGAACTCCCCGACGAGGCTGCCCCCCACGCCCCAACCCAACCCTGAGACCCCAGGGCGGCCGTTGACTTTTGGTGTGGGAGCGCCACGCTCTCCAGAGCAAAACCATCGAAGCCCAAGAAACCCAGGGCACCCTGGAGGCAAGCAGGATGTTTCTTGGCATGGGTCTCTCCACTGTACTCCTCCTGTAGAGGGGCAGGCCCGACTTAAGCCTGGACAGAGCTCTCCGCCGCGCCCCGACGAGGCCCGACGTGCTGCCCCCCACGCCCCAACGACGCAGATCGCAGACCGCACCCCGGCGCCGCGCAACCACACCCCCTGTTCGGCGGCGGGCCCCGGGGGGGAAGTCAGAAGGGGCGGACCCCCTCGGAAGGCTCGGAGGTCCCCCAACCTGCAGAGAAGTCTTCCGAGCCTTCCCCGAGGACGCAGACGAGAACCTCTCGGAGGGCCCGAGGGCTTCTGAGACGCTTCGCCGCCTTCTGAGGGCCCCCACTGTGGGGCACGGCAGCAGCACCTCGGCGTCGCGCAACCACACACTCTGTTCGGCGGCGGGCCCCTCGGGGGGAAGTCAGCAGGGGCGGGCCTCCTCAGAAGTCGGGGTCCACCAGGGGGGGGGGCCTGAGGGGGGGTATGAGTTCGATGCGTTGGTGCACCGTAGCTGCCGCAAACACGCATGCCCCACCTATCGGCAGTTATCGGGAGCTGCCGGCGGCTGGGGGGCATCTGTTTTGGGCGGTCCGGTGCGAAAGCCGATCGCACTCGCACACACCCTGGGGCACCCCCCCTCTGCGGGATCCCGAAGAGAGCGCGGAGGCCCCCCCGCCTGCAGAGAAGTCTCCCGGGCCTTTCCCGAGGACGCAGACAAAAACCTCTCAGAGGTCCCGAGGGCTTCTGAGAAGCTTCGCCGCCTTTGGGGAGGCCTCCTCCTTCTCGCTTCCCCCCCCGCTCGCCGCCGAATGCGGTTTTTTGGTTGCAATTCGGGTCTCCAGCGGGCGATCGGGCGCCCTCCGCGAGGCGCAGCTGCTAGCAAGCATCCCGAGGCTGAAAAGCCGCCGAGAGCCAACGAAAACGTCCGAAAACCTAGAACCTCGAACCCGAAACCTCGAACCTCGAACCTCGAACCTCGACCTCGCCCGCCGCCGATGTGTGGCCGTCGATTCGTGGCGACCTGTGCCCGCTGCTGCGGCGGCCCGGCTCGTCTCTCGGGCCGCCGGGGGAGCAGCCCGCCTGCGGGGGGTCGCAGCAGCTGCAGCCGTCGCTCCACAGCAGCGGCGACTCGGGTGCGCTGCAGGCCCAGAGCCACAGGGACACGGGCTGGGAGACCAGGTACTGGTACGTGGCCAGCTGCTGCACGGCTTCCTGTCGGAGGGGGGCACGGCAGCAGCGCCTCGGCAAGGAGCACCATGCCAGTACAGTGGAGGCCAGTCCACAAGAACCCTGCCACAAGAAACCCAACCCTGAGACCCCAGGGCGGCCGTTGACTTTTGGTGTGGGAGCGCCACGCTCTCCAGAGCAAAACCATCGAAGCCCAAGAAACCCAGGGCACCCTGGAGGCAAGCAGGGTGTTTCTTGGCATGGGTCTCACTGTATTCCTCCTGTAGAGGGGCAGGCCCGGCTTAAGCCTGGACAGAGCTGCCCCGACGAGGCCCGACGTGCTGCCCCCCACGCCCCAACGACGCAGATCGCAGACCGCACCCCGGCGCCGCGCAACCACACCCCCTGTTCGGCGGCGGGCCCCGGGGGGGAAGTCAGAAGGGGCGGGCCCCCTCGGAAGGCTCGGAGGCCCCCCGGCCTGCAGAGAAGTCTCCCGAGCCTTCCCCGAGGACGCAGACGAGAACCTCTCAGAGGGCCCGAGGGCTTCTGAGACGCTTCGCCGCCTTCTGAGGGCCCCTCCTTCTCGCTTCCCCCCCCGCTCGCCGCCGAATGCGGTTTTTTGGTTGCAATTCGGGTCTCCAGCGGGCGATCGGGACGATCCGGGCATCCCCGGAACGCCCTCCGCGAGGCGCAGCTGCTAGCAAGCATCCCGAAGCTGAAAAGCCGCCGAGAGCCAACGAAAACGTCCGAAAACCTAGAACCTCGAACCCGAAACCTCGAACCTCGAACCTCGAACCTCGGCAGCAGCACCTCGGCAAGAAACATTCTGGAGCAGCAGCAGGGTGACGGGGCGGGTCGGCGCGTGGGAGGTCGGCGAGCGAACGCCCAGGGCTCCCAGCTGCGCGTCGCGGGGGCGAGCACAGCCACGCGCACCGTAGCAGATTCTTGACAAGGGATCGCGCCCGCTTCCCAGGCGCGCACCGTAGTATACTCTTGACGAAGGAGGAGGAGGAGGAGGAGGAGGAGGAGGAGGAGGAGGAGGAGAAGGAGGAGGGAGGAGGAGGGATATCTCGAGGTACGGCATCACGACAGCGAGGGAACTGCCGTGACCATTATCTTCAGTGACTGGTAAAACCGAAGCCGTCCAGGTCGAACTCGTCGAGCGGGTCTGTGCTGGAGTCGTCGGACCACGCCACCGCGAACCGAGAGAACAACGCTCCAGCATCCGCCACTCCTGTCCCTGGCGGGCTCCCACTTGCATAATCACTGCAGCCGAACAAGCGGCCTTCACCAGGATCGACGGGGAGTCCCCGCGGGATCCACGACGGGGCGGCGAGAGAGGGCAAGGGGTCCTCCCTCTGCGGCACCGAACTGCCCGCCTGCACGTGCACTTCCCCTCCCTTAGAGCCTTCAGCCGCAGGGTGGAGGGTCCCCACGGCTGGTAGCTGGGCAGCCTCCTCCTTCTCGAAGTCCGCCTGGGCCTCCGTCTCCTCGGGCTCCGCGTCCACGCGGAGGCGGCGGCGGACGAAAGGCTGCAGTGAGCGACCGAGTGGCACCGCCCACCTATGCAGCTGGAGCAGCACGCCCTGCTGGAACTTCAAGTCGAAGCCGTGCTCCACGATGCCGACGCCGCCGTCGCGATCGGCGGACAGCTGAAGTCTGAGGTACACCAGCCTTGAGCTCGGCACGACACGGCACCGCAAGGGCAGCCACCCCCCGCAGGGGCCCTGGCACGACACCCGTTGCCAGCTCCTCGTCGCCCTGCGCCTCGGCCAGCTCTGCGAGCCGCCAGCCCGCGGCGAGGCCACGCACGAAGGCCTGGGCCGCGCTCTCGGCGGCGGGGCCACAGCCATACCACACGCCAGGCGCGAGCCACTCGGCCGTCGGCTGGGCTTGCTGCTCCTCGGCACCCGCGTCGAAGACACCGCAGGAGCCGTCCACGACTTCGCCAGCGCAGTGCCCCAGCCTGGGCCCAGCAGCCGCCCAAACGATCGCCTCGTCGGGGGCTGCCTCGAAGCCCCCCGAAGGCACACGCTGTGCGTGCCACGAGGCGTTTCTCCGCCTGCGCACGCTGCCTGGGATGCGCCGCCCGGCAGCCAGTAGACGAAGCGCGGGTCGCGCCCCACGCTCACGATCCTGCCAGCTGCCAGGGCTGGCGCCAGCGCTGCGGGCCGCCACCGCAGCCACCAGCGCCTCCTGCTTCCGGCGTCGGGCGGCTCGGCGAGCCGCCGACGGGCCGAGCGAGGCGGACTCAGCTCGGCGAAGAGCGCTGGGCGACCACACGGACGGGTCGCCCCCGTAGCCATCTCCAAGACCAGTGTGCGGGCCGCCAACAGCCCCGGCCGAGGGAGACATCACCATGCCGGCTTGCGGGACGGCATGAGCCAAAATGGCTACGGAGGGAGGAGGAGGAGGAAGGAGGAGGAAGAGGAAGAGGGGGAGGACGAGGAGGAGGAGGAGGAGGAGGAGGAGGAGGAGGAGGAGGAGGAGGAGGAGGAGGAGGAGGAGGAGGAGGAGGAGGAGGAGGAGAAGCTCAGGAGGAAGAGGGGAGGAGGAGGAGGAGGAGGAAGAGGAGGAGGAGGAGAGGAGGAGGAGGAGAATTTGAGGGGGAGGAGGAGGGGAGGAGGAGGAGGAGGAGGAGGAGGAGGAGGCGGAGGAGGAGGAGGAGGAGGAGGAGGAGGAAGGAGGAGGAGGAGGAGGAGGAGGAGGAGGAGGAGGAGGAGGAGGAGGAGGAGGAAGGGATCGTGGCCGATTCCCGGGCGTGACAGGGGTGAGAGCACTGCCATGCGCACCGTGGTGAAGCTTGTTGCCAAGGATCGTGGCCGTCCGCACCAAGCATGCAGCCGACATCGGGGCGAGAGAGCGCGACTTTTGAGCGCCTCGCGAGGAAGACGCAAGCGAAACGGCCGCCAGCCCAGGCGAACTCGAGCTCCGCGTCCCCCCTGGCGGGGACTCTCCGGTGGTTCTGGCATGCCAGGCATGCGACGTCCTGATTTTTTCAGGACGGCGTCCCTGGAAGTCTAGGCCCTTTCCCCATCCGGAGTCGTTCTTGGACGGCCCCGGGGCCCGGCGAGGGCCCCCAAAGGGGCCGAAAACAGGGGAGAACTTGCCGCCCTGCTTGTTTTTTTACGGCGCGATCATGTCTGGGCCTGTGTTGGCGGCGCGCACAGCAAGGGGGTGGAGGAAGGGGGGAGGGCTCCCTAGAAGGAGGCCGCTTCGTAGAAGGCGCCGGCCGAGGCCCGCGCCTTCTGAGAAGCAGGGGTGCTTCCGAGAAGCCCTCCCCCCCTCCCCCCACTCCCCCTCTGCGCGTGGCCGACTGCCCAGAGATCCGACGTCGTGATTTTCTCAATGCGGGGCCCCCAAAGGTCTCGACCCATTCCCCAGGACCAGATTTTCATCCTGGGACGTTTTTTGACGGTCCCGGAGCCCGGCGAGGGCACTCCGAGGCTGACAGTTGCGAAAAACCTGCGTCTGGGTTTTTCCATCGCGTTGGATCTCTGGGTATGGCTCCTCGGCGCTGCCCTTGGAGCCCTCTCGCGGAACGCTCGCAGGGAGACTCCGCGCGTGGGCTCCCCGGTCGCCCGCGCGGACGTCCCGCCCCGCGGCGCCAGAGCCCCGCCCGGGCTGCTGCGCCCCCCCCCCCCAGCGGCGATCCGCTCACTGGGCAGGCGCAGAGTCGGGATGCGCCCCTCCAGTGACTACCTTCCAGACCAGCCCAACCCGACCCGAAGACCCGAATTTCGGTTTGGGGGGGGTAAGGGTTACACATGTGCTTTTTCTAGGTTTCCCGACCCCCCCCCCCCACTGGAAATGGAGGGCAAATTGAGGCCTTCGGGTTGGGTTGGGGTGGTTTGGTGGGGGGTGATCCAGAGCGTTCTGGAAGGCTCTCCGAGCGCTCTGGGCCCAGGCACGACCGCGTCGTAAGAAAAAAAATATCAGCTGGACGGCCAGTGTTTCCCATGTTCGGCCCCTTTGGGGGCCCTCGCCGGGCCCGGGGACCGCCAAAAAACGGCTCCGGATGAAAAACCCGCCCCTGGGAAAGGGTCTAGACTTCAGGGGACGCCGCACTGAAAAAACCAGGACGTCGCATGTCTGGGGGACGTTCTGGGACGGCCCAGGAGCATGGCAATTAGCATCCCCCAAAGCCGCCAGATCTCCGAGATCCCCGATCTGTCCCGACCCGATTTGGTCCCGATCCTGGCACCGTCTCAATTCCAAGAAGTCAGCGCGGAGTTCCGACAACTGATGGGACGCACAGAGACATACTAGGACTGGATGTCATCCTTTGCATGAGGCGCGAGTCCGACCCGAACATATGGTATACCCACCTTGTCGTATATCGTTTCCCGAGCGGTGTGGCCAGAAAACGCCTGCCACGACGCGTGTACTGCAAGATTTCTCAGTGCGCGCGTCGCCCCGGAAGGGGGGCGACGAACTCATAGTATTAAGTCGGGCCTGTCCCCCTACAGGGGGATATTCGACGAAAAATAAGAAATACCCAAAACATAATTTAAACAAAAATCCAAAAATAGTCTGGGGACTACGTTTTGATTATGATTTTTTGCCTTTTTAGCATAATTTTGGGGTATCTTTTATTTTTCGTCGAAAATCCCCCTGCAGGGGGACACGCCCGACATAATCATGGTATTAAAATGCTGGGGTGAAGCCGAAATTGTTTTTTTGCCGCTTCTGGCAGCAGCAGCAGCAGCAGCAGCAGCGTCAACGGCGGCGGGAAGTCACCGCGCAGCGCGCGGAGCGAAGAAAAACCCAGGGCACCCTGACGAAAATCACATGGTTTCTTGAGGCCCGCCCCCCACTGCATGCCGCTCCTGGTTCCTCTATGAGAGGAACAATCAGCGGCATAGGCATAAACTTTTGGAGCTCCGCGCGGATTTCTTGCATCTGCGCTGGACCGCCCTCCCTGGCGCGCGGAGCGCGCCAGGGGCGGCGCCGAAGGCCCCGCCCGAGGGGGCCAGCGCGGATCCCAGAATCCGCACGGAGCGTCAAAAGTTTATATGTTTATGGCGTATTTTTTTCTTCGGAGCGCGCCAGGGGCGGCGCCGAAGGCGCCGCCGGGGGGGGCCAGCGCGGATCCCAGAATCCGCACGGAGCGTCAAAAGTTTATATGTTTGTGGCGTGTTTTTGTTCTTCGAACGACCGGGACCGCATCGGCGAGAAGCATCCTTCGGGGATGGGCAGACCTCCCTTTAGCACAACGCGGTCTAGTGAGAACGACCCGAGGCCCAAACCTGGCGGGCGCAGGCCTGGGAAATAACGGCCGCGGCGCCCTCTCGAGAACCGAAAACGGCCAATTCACGAATCGGCGGGTTCTGTCCACCCCCGATTCTTCGAACGACGGCACCACATCGGCAAGAAGCATCCTGTACTGGCAGCAGGGGTGGGCAGAGGGACGCGGGCCGGGAGACCACGTGCTGGCGCGTGGCCAGCTGCTGCAGCGCCTCCTCTCGAGGGAGGGCACGACGGCACCCCCTCGGCAAGGAGCAAAGAGTTTATGCTTATGGCGTGCTTTCTTCTTCGATCTATCCTTAGGTCGGGCGTGTCCCCCTACAGGGGGATTTTCGACGAAAGCTCAAAAATACAACAAAAACTGGCCCAACATGGTCAACAAATGCTCAAAAAATGGGCCCCGGACTATTTTTCATTATTTTTGAATTCTCCTCCTGTAGAGGGACACGCCCGACTTAAATCGATCCTCGGGGTCCCAGTGCTCGCGCCCGGCACCGCCGGCGGGATCCACGCCGCCGGCGAACCGCTCTAGCACCGCCAGCTTGGCGAGGGCGCGGCCCTCGATCTCCTGAAAGCAGCGCTCGTGGCCGGGGGGCAGCGGGTGGCAGCAGAAGTCCTCCGTGCACCAGGGGCGACGACAAAGACGGCGACGACGACGACGACGACGACGACGGCGCGACGACGGCGACGGCGCGACGATGGCGACGACGACGACGACGACGACAACGACGGCGACGACGACGGCGACGGCGACGACGACGACGACGACGACGACGACGACGGCGACGGCGACGGCGACGGCGACGGCGACGGCGACGATGGCGGCGGCGGCGGGTGGCAGCAGAAGTCCTCCGTGTACCAGGGGCCCGACCAGCAGCCTGCGCGCGCCGCGTCGCCGCCAGCGCAGCACCTGCTGTAGGTCCGGTCGCTGTTGTACCAGCACAGGCCGTTCCCGTCCTGCTCCGCTGCAGCGGCCCCGCCGGGGGCGGCAGCAACGGAGGCCACCGCGGCGCAAGCGAGCCACAGCCGGCGGCGCGCACACGGGTGTGGGGCGAGGGGGGGGGGGGGGCCACCTGCAGCCACGCGTGCTACCAGAGGGACCGCTGGACAGGAACGGCGGGGCTTTCCTGGCCGCGGTGGGCCACGACGCCACGGCGGGGCCCCACGACCCAGAGCATGCCCGGGGAGCGGCCCGCGAACCGGGGCCCCTCCGGAGCCCAAGGTGGCCGCGCCGCTGTTCCGGCGCCTTCGCTGCACGACGGCAGGGGGCTTCCCCAGCGGGGCCCAGAAGCGGGCTCCTCAAAACGCGGGAGGGCTTACAAGCCGCCCCCCCCGCCTTGCTTCTGCTCCCCCACCCGCCACGACGAAGCGACCGCGCACCTCGATGAGGCGCAAACCCACAGGCCCTGAGCCTGCGGCACGAAGCGCGCCGCCGAAGGAACCAGCCTGCGGAGGAAACCACCCAAACATCCGATGTCTCGGGAGCGGCCAAGAGGGGGGGTCCAAGAGGGGGGGTGCAAACCATGGCCGGCGGCATGTGCGCGGCTCTTGGGGGGGAGGCCAGGGACTTAATGAAATAAGAAGAGGCGCCATAAAACCTGGGGAAATATCATGGCCCCCGCCATGATATCCACCCCCGTAGTCATCACCCCCCTCTTTGCCGCACCCGATGTTTTTTAAATTAACGAAACGGGGCCCCCGGAAATCCCGGCCCTGTCCGCACGGCCAGGTGGTCATTCTGAATCGTCCCTTGACGCTCCAAGGGCCTGGTGAGGACCCGCGGAGCTTGAAGCTGGCGAAACACAGCTCGTCGCGACTCTTCCCGCGGCGCGAGCATGTGTCGAGACGGCGGAGGAAGAAGCTCCCCGCCCCCCTCGAGAACGGCGAAAAAGCGCTCCGTCGCGGTTCTTCCCACGACGCGGGCATGTCTGGGAGACTGCGGAGGAAGAAGCCTACCGCCCTCTGAGGAGCCCCCCCCCCCTCGAGGAGGAGGAGGAGGAGGAGGAGGAGGAGGCGGAGGAGGAGGAGGAGGAGGAGGAGGAGGAGGAGGAGGAGAGAAGAGGGAAATGTGTGTGTGTGTGTGTGTGTGTGTGTGTGTGTGTGTGTGTGTGTGTGTGTGTGTGTGTCTGTGTGTGTGTGTGTGTGACGAGGGGCATGGCGCGAGGCGTACTCCGACGCACACTGGAAGGCCCCCTGGGGGGGGCAGAGCATCAAACAAGTACCTGATGAGAGGTGCCGGGAGGGGGCAACAAGCAAATGGAGCCCGCGGGGAGAGCGAGGGGGGGCGCCCCACGACGAGAGCCGTCAGACACGCCGCGCGCCCCCCAGCTGCACTCTGAACGAAGGGTAAGACAGATCGAGTCAGGAGGGCGGCACTCATAGAGAAGAGACGGCTGGACGCCGTACTTCTCGCACACCTCGAGATAGGGCATGTCCTCCGAGCCCTTGTACTTGGCCGGCCAGGAGCCGATCCTGAGCAAAGAGTCGGGGTCGCATTGCGAGAGAGTGTCAGAAATCCTTCGCCGGCAGATCCTGTGGCGCTCTCCAGATCGTGCCGAAACTGTCGGCGGCGGCTGCGGCATGTCGGGCGAAGTGGGGCTGCTGCGGCAGGGCGCATCCCCACCTCCGCTTTACCAGACAAGCTGCCAGCAGCTCCTGGAGGGGCTGCGTGCTTGCTCATCACCTTGGGCACAGCCACTTCGACAGCGGGCGCAACGACGCCGAGAGCCTTGAGCAGCGTGTTCAACTGCATCGCAGGGGTCTCGGGCGCGAAATCTGGTGGCTGCCAGATGTCAGGCGGAACCGCAGGGGCATTGACAGAGGCCAAGGTGATATCGGCGCCCGAATGCAAGCGCTGCTTGGCCAAGTACGCGACGTCCTTGATCCAAGGCGCACGGCCCACGCGCGCACAATAGCCAAGTCGCCAAAAAACAACGCGTGTGAGCCTCGGGGAGGGTCCGGGATCTGCCTCGTGAGCGCGGCCAGCCGGAGCCTGCCAGGAGCGAAGGCGGCGGCCGGCGCGCATGGCAGCTGCCCCGATGGACGGGGTCCTGCAGCAGCACCCTGTGTGCTGAAAAAGACCTTGAGCCAAAATGACTACGGAAAAAAAGGAAGAGGGAGGAGAGAGAGAGAGACGAGGAGGGAGGAGGAAGGGGAAGAGGGGGAGGAGGAGGAGGAGGAGGAGGAGGAGGAGGAGGAGGAGGAGGAGGAGGAGGAGGAGGAGGAGGAGGAGGAGGAGGAGGAGGAGCAGGAGGAGGGAGGAGGGAGGAGGGAGGATGTTGGTTGGTTGGTTGGTGACCTGCCAGCGAGGTGGCATTTTGGGACTGCGGGCTCCGCCCCTTTAGTGGAAAGCTGCGGGGCCCAAACCGGCGACCGACAGCAACCCCACAACGTCAGCCCAGGGATGGATGAGACCACTCTCGGGAAGCAGCCCTGGGAGAAAGAGGGAGGGTACGAGGACATGCGTGCCACCGTGCCCGAACCACCCTCAGCTCACAGGCTCCCTCAGGGGAGGTGCCACGCCCTAAGCTGGAAGGCGAACGCTAGATTCGGGTCTTCCTAGGGGAGGGGGCATCAGCGGCTCTCCGGCAGGGCTCCTCGCCCGGTCTCGACTCCATCCTACGCCAACGTGCGACGTAGGCACGAGGCTAGCCGGATGGAGGGAGAGAGGAACAAACCCGGAGGGGGAAAAGTTGTTCCAGAAGTGGGTCGCCTCTTGCTCCAAGAAACCTCCTAGCGACGCTGCCTCGGAGAAGCCTGCATCCCCTGGCGACGTACTCAGCTGGACGCGGGCGCATTCCTCCCTAGATTCGGGTTGCGGTCTCCCTCGGGTCTGCCAGAAGGCAGCGCGCAACTGTTGGGTGACCCCGCAGGCGCCCAATGGGGGAATGGGCCGATCAGATTGTCATTGTCCAGCACAGCCCGCATGGGACCAGGGGGAGCGCACGCGACCCGAGCTCCCCAAGTTTCCTCATCGCATGCCGGCCCACGTGTCCTCGAGACCCGGGCCAGGACGGCTACGGAGGGGGCCCGGGGGGAGGGCGCGCGCACAGCCGGCCCATCCCGCCGCCATCGGCCACCCCAACCACGACCGGCTCCTAGAGCCCACGCCGAAGTCCAGAGGTCGGCGCCCGATACCCCCCCCTCGCCTCACTCCGGAAACTGCCGCAACAGCGCCCCCCGCTCAGAGCACAGGAAGGGAGCGCGGGGTGCGGCGCAGGGGGGCCCAGCGCCGACCTGGAAACGCCACGCAGACCTCCAGGAGGGGACCGACCAGGGGGGAGGGCAGGAGGGAGGGAGGCAGGGAGCCATCCGTCCTCCGCCCCAACGGGCCCCACCTCGAAAGAGAAGCAGCCCGAACCGCCCATGGACAGGAGGGACTCCTCCGACCAGTCTGTTCGGCGCAGCCTCTGCGCGGCGCCAGCCTTGAACGGGCAGTTTTTGCCGCGGCGACCGCGTGGCCAGGGTGTCCCGCTGCAGGGGTCGTTCGGCCGTCCGCGCCAGCGCGCCCAACTCCGCAAAAGAAAAGGCGCTGGCACGCAGACGCCGATATTTTTGTCGCGCTCTGCGCCGCCCCGAATGCACTTCCAAAGTGCCTTCCCAGACATGCGACGTCCTGATTTTTTCAGGACGGCGTCCCCGGAAGTCCAGACCCTTTCCCTGGGGCCGGCTTTTCATCCTGAGTCGTTTTTTGACGGTCTCGAGGCCCGGCGAGGGGCTCTGGAGGCCGAAAATAGCGAAAAACCTCCGTCCTGAATTTTTTACGACGCGATCATGTCTGGGAATGCACTTCCAAAGTGCCTTCGGCGCGCGCGGCCGTGCCCGGGCAGCCAGCCGCGCCGGGCGGCCACCGCGGGCGGGCCCCGGCGGCCGCCCCGTGCCTCCGGGGGGGCAGTCGTCGCGAGGCCACATGCACGGAGGCCCGCCCGGTGCCTCCGAGGCTGCCCGGGGGGCCCCGGCATGGCCAGCTGCCGCGCCCGGCGGCCCCAGCGACGGTCCCAGCGACCCCCCTCTGGGCAGCTTGCCCAGTGGCAAGCTTGCGGATGCCACGACGATGGGCACCCGAACGGTCCTGTCGCCGAGCCAAAAGTGTGTGTTCAACATGCCGGGGAACTGTCCCGAGCATGTGTCAAACACGTGTTTTACGTGCTTGAGGCATGTTTGAGACGTGCGCTGGACATCTGGAAACTGTTTGGCACCATGCTTCCTCTCCGTTGATCGTCCTCCACAAAGTCCAGTGCCAAACAGGGGCCCGTTTGTCGGCTACACGCTGGAGCGACCCTGGCTAAGCGTGACCTTTGGAACGGGACTTTTTGGGGGGCCGCGGGGGGCCAAACCTGGGCGCGCAAGCAGCTGCTACTGCCTCGTTTTTAGCCGTCTGGAGACCCATCCCCAGACATGTGACGTCCTGATTTTTTCAGGACGGCGTCCCTGGAAGTCCAGACCCTTTCCCTGGCGCCGGTTTTTCATCCTGTGAAGTTTTTTGACGGTCCCGAGGCCCAGCGAGGGCCTCTGGAGGCCGAAAAACCTCCGTCCTGATTTTTACGACGCGATCACGTCTGGGTCTGCGCCCGCACCAAAGGTCATCCCCGCGAAAGGTCCCTCTTACGTCTATAGTCGAGTTTGGCACCGCGACCTCCTCCTCCCCCCCCTCCTCCTCCTCCTCCTCCTCCTCCTCCCCTCCTCCTCCTCCTCCTCCTCTTCCTCCTCCCTCCTCCCCCTCCTCCTCCTCCCCCTCCTCCCCTCCTCCTCCTCTCCTCCTCCTCCTCCTCTCCTCCTCCTCCTCCTCCTCCCTCCTCCTCCTCCTCCTCCTCCTCCGATCGTCCGGGGGCAGCAGGCGACCACGGGCGCCCCCCCGCTCCCGCGGCGGAGCTCGGGGGGGCGCCTCGCCCGGCGCAGCGCCCCGCGAGGCTCGGCACGGGAGGGCGCCGCCGCAGCGACGGCGAGGACGCCGCCGGCGACGGCGGCGACGACAGCGACGGCGGGAGCGGCGGCGGCGCCAAGACTGGAGCAGGGACCGACCGTCCCAGCATTGGGGGGAGCGTCCATGTGTCTGTGTGCTTGCATGCGTGCGCGTGCGCGTGCGCGTGCGCGTGCGCGTGCGCGTGCGCGTGCGCGTGCGCGTGCGCGTGCGCGTGCGCGAGCGCGAGCGCGTGCGTGTGCGCGTGCGCGTGCGTGTGCGTGTGCGTGTGCGTGTGCGTGTGCGTGTGCGTGGTGTGGTGTGTGTGGTGGTGTGTTGTGTGTGTGTGTGTGTGTGTGTGTGGTGTGTGTGTGTGTGTGTGTGTGTGTGTGTGTGGTGTGTGTGTGTGTGTGTGTGTGTGTGTGTGTGTGTGTGTGTGTGTGTGTGTGTGTGTGTGTGTGTGTGTGTGTGTGCGTGCGTGTGTGTGTGTGTGTTCCTGCCCCGCGCCCGCGTGTGTGCGTGTGTGTGTGTGCTCTTCGAACCCCAAGAATGTTCTAAGAACAAAAGCAATGCTCTTCGAACATGAGCCCGATGTGTTAAAACAAAGCAGTTCTAGCCACAGAAGTGTTCTAAGAACATTTCGTGGCAACCACGAAAGGTTCTTAGAACATTGTCTGGTGGGGCTAAAGGCGAGCCGGGACACTTCGCCACTGCTTGAAAGACGACGACCACGGCGGCGGCGGCAGCGACAGCCACAGCAACGGCGAGGGGACAGCACAGCGGCAGCAGCAACGGCGGCGGCGCCGCAGACGCCGGAGGCGACGGCACGGACCCCCCCCCAGCCCGTCCCAGCCCAGCGAGGACCAGAAGGGAAGGATGGAGGAAGAAAGAGAGAGGGAAGGAGGGGGGGGACCACGCCCCAGCCCGGCCCAGACCGCCCCAACCCGCCGCAGCCTGGCGGAGATTGAGCGAGAGGGGGTGAGGGAGGAAAGGGAATCTTTCAAAACGCCTGTAAAACTCGCACAAGAAAGTGGATCCTGGTGTATACGGGATCCGGGTGCTTTTGTTTTAAACTCGTCCGCTTGTTTTACACTCGTCCGCGGTGCCCTCCACTTCAAAGATTGAACACACATGCGGGCGGTGCCGCGAATCTGCCAGCTGATGTGCGACACGCCGGCGTCCACCCAAGATGGCCGGTTTTGCCTGGAAGTACCCCGACCGCGGCCAGCCGGAGCATGCCACGAGCGAAGGCGGCGGCCGGCGCGCATGGCAGCTGTCCCGATGGACGGGGTCCTGCAGCAGCACCCAGTGTGCTGAAAAGGACCTTGAGCCAAAATGGCTACAGAAAAAAAGGGAAAAGGGAGGAGGGAGGCGTGAGGAGAGAGGAGGAGGAGGGAGGAGGAAGGGGAAGAGTGGCAGGAGGAAGAGGAGGAGGAGGAGGAGGAGGGAGGAGGGAGGAGGGAGGAGGGAGCAGCAGGGAGGAGGGAG